AGTTTGTCTCAACTAAATGTTATGCAATGTATATACAATGCTTATTACCACAAAACTCAGTTTAAGTTCAAATTTTGGTAGCGTCACTTATACAGTTAGTGAGTTATGTCCTTTATAACGTTATATGCTAGCAGGGACATCATCTGAGTCCCTATGGACACATTCCCCATTTATTTTATTTTTTATAGTTTTTGAATTAAAAGGAAAAACACTAAAATTGGTAAAAATCATCAATTAGGGGCAATTACTCCTTTACAGAGTTAACCAACAGTTTTGTCCTTGTCATATTTCTTGTCTTGCTGTGGCCAGGTGAGCTAAAGTAAGGAGTTGTTGTATAATTGCAAATGAGACACTTATACACCAAATACCAAATGATGTAGATGCTAGCTACTTTTGGTCATCATACAATGTTCAACGATGATCCTTAAAGCCATAAAACTCTATAGCAAGCTATAAAAGGCAGTCATGAACCAATTTAAATAAAATGCTTCGCTGGGCGCAGCTTGATACGACCGCAGAGGTCGAACCCTGAACAGTTGGGGCAAGTATGGACACAACATTCAAGCTTGATACAGCTCTGAATTTGGATTGTGATTAAATATTTGACACAGCATAGGTTTCTGACACAGAAAGAATGTGGTCTAAGAACTTCAATTTTTTAATTTACCTATTATGGTCCAATGTCCAAAATCAAAATACATGGTTAGATTCAGCATATCAAAGAACCCCATATATTCAATTTTTGTTGAAATCAAACAAAGTTTAATTTTGGACCCCAACTTGGACAAACTTGAAAACTGGTCCCATAATCAAAAATCTAAACACATGTTTAGATTCAGCATATCAAAGTACCCCAAGAATTCAATTTTTGTTAAAATAAAACTAAGTTTAATTTTGGACCCTTTGGACCTTAATGTACACCAATTTAAAAAACGGGACCCAAAATTAAAAATCTAAAAACACGGTTAGATTTGGCATATCAAAGAACCCAAATAATTCAATTTTTGATGAAATCAAACAAAGATTAATTTTGGACCCTTTTGACCTCAATATGAACCAATTTGATAGCGGGCCCACAAAATAAAAAATCTAAATACATGGTAAGATTCAGCATATCAAAGAACCCCATATATTCAATTTTTGTTGAAATCAAACCAAGTTTAATTTTGGACCCCAATTTGGACCAACTTGAAAACTGGGCCAAAAAATCTAAAATCTAAATACATGTTTAGATTCAGCATATCAAAGAACCCCATATATTCAATTTTTGTTGAAATCAAACAAAGTTTAATTTTGGACCCCAACTTGGACCAACTTGAAAACTGGGCCCATAATCAAAAATCTAAACACATGTTTAGATTCAGCATATCAAAGAACCCAAAAAATTCAATTTTTGTTAAAATCAAACTAAGTTTAATTTTGGACCCTTTGGACCTTAATGTAGACCAATTTAAAAAACGGGACCCAAAATTAAAAATCTAAATACACGGTTAGATTTGGCATATCAAAGAACCCCAATAATTCAATTTTTGATGAAATCAAACAAAGTTTAATTTTGGACCCTTTTGACCTCAATATGAACCAATTTGATAGCGGGCCCACAAATAAAAAATCTAAATACATGGTAAGATTCAGCATATCAAAGAACCCCATATATTCAATTTTTGTTGAAATCAAACAAAATTTAATTTTGGACCCCAATTTGGACCAACTTGAAAACTGGGCCAAAAATCTAAAATCTTAATACATGTTTAGATTCAGCATATCAAAGAACCCCATATATTCAATTTTTGTTGAAATCAAACCAAGTTTAATTTTGGACCCCAACTTGGAACAACTTGAAAACTGGGCCCATAATCAAAAATCTAAACACATGTTTAGATTCAGCATATCAAAGAACCCCAAGAATTCAATTTTTGTTAAAATCAAACTAAGTTTAATTTTGGACCCTTTGGACCTTAATGTAGACCAATTTAAAAACGGGACCCAAAATTAAAAATCTAAATACACCGTTAGATTTGGCATATCAAAGAACCCCAATAATTCAATTTTTGATGAAATCAAACAAAGTTTAATTTTGGACCCTTTTGACCTCAATATGAACCAATTTGATAGCGGGTCCACAAATAAAAAATCTAAATACATGGTTAGATTCAGCATATCAAAGAACCCCAAGAATTCAATTTTTGATGAAATCAAACAAAGTTTAATTTTGGACCCTTTTGACCTCAATGTGGACACAGTTGATAACGGGGCCCAAAAATCAAAAATCTAAATACATGGTTAGATTCAGCATATCAAAGAACCCCATATATTCAATTTTTGTTGAAATCAAACAAAGTTTAATTTTGGACCCCGATTTGGACCAACTTGAAAACTGGGCCCATAATCAAAAAACTAAATACACGGTTAGATTTGGCATATCAAAGAACCCCAATTATTCAATTTTTGATGAAATCAAACAAAGTTAAATTTTGGACCCTTTGGACCTCAATGTGGACCAATTTACAAACGGGGCCCAAAATCCAAAAACTTATTACACGGTTAGATTCAGAATATTAAAGAACCCCAAGAATTCAAGAATAAAACCCCATTGAAATTGATCAAGAAATAAGAAATTTATACGAAGTATCTTCTTTTGCACAATACTGTGCAATTGAATATTTCTTGCTATTGTGCAATACTGTACAATTGACAATTTCTTGCTATTGCGCAATATTGTGCTATTGGATATTTCTTGCTATTGCGCAATACTGTGCAATTGAAGATTTCTTGCTATTGCGCAATACTGTGCAATTGAAGATTTCTTGCAATTGTGCAATACTGTGCAATTGAAAATTTCTTGCTGTTGCACAATACTTATTATATAATAATTTACACATCCTGTTTGGTGTGTATCCCCTACCATATCATTATTATTTGCTTTTAAATATTAATCAGAAATAACCAACTTAAAATGGAAAATTTTAAAAGAAAAAAAAAAAGGAAAAAAAGAAAAAAAAAGAAAAAAAAAAACCCCCCCCCCCAAATTTTTTGAACCCCCTTATGATTCATCACCCCCAAACTCAATCCCAGCCTTCCCTTTGTGGTATGGTACCTTGCAGTACAATTTCAGAGAGATCCATACACTTGAACACAAGTTATTGTCGGGAAACTAGAAAAATGCTTATTTTTGGCCCCTTTTTGGCCCCCAATTCCTAAACGTTTCGGGCAATTACCCCCAAACTCAATTCCAGCTTTCCCTTTGTGATATGGAACCTTGTAGTACAATTTCAGAAATATCCAAACACTTACACACAAGTTATTGTCATGAAACTAGAAAAATGCTTGTTTTTTGCCCCTTTTTTGGCCCCTAATTCCTAAAATTTTGAGGCAATTACCCCCAAAATCAATTACAGCCTTCCCTTTGTGATATGGAACCTTGTGGTACAATGTCAGAGAGATCCATACACTTACACACAAGTTATTGTCTGGAAGTTACAAAATGCTTATTTTTGGCCCCTAATTTCTTAACTGTTGGTACCATAACCCCCAAAATCAATCCCAACCTTCCTTTTGTGGTATTGAACCTTATGGTAAAATTTCATGGAGATCCATTCACTTAAACTAAAGTTAGAGTGCGAAAACCAATGTGTCTTCGGACGACGCCGGACGACGCCAGACGACGACGACGACGACGACGACGACGACGCCAACGTCATACCAATATACGACCAAAAAATTTTCAATTTTTGCGGTCGTATAAAAAGCTAACGACGACAGACGACGACGGACGACGGACGTCAAGTGATGAGAAAAGCTCACTTGGCCCTTCGGGCCAGGTGAGCTAATAATAATAATAATAAGATCTGAGCAAAACCAATAAGTCTCCAAACTATGTTTGGGAGACTTAAAAAACACATTGTCCAGATAACTAAAGATGGTACAGGCACATGTGGTAGGGCTGAACTATGCACACACACACAGCCACTTTGCCTATCCAGATCATATGTCATAAAAGTAAAACACAAAAAAACAACTTGCACAGTTCAGCTACCAATAGGAAGACCATAAACTTGAACAAGGAAATGAAGGATGGCACATAACTTTGAAATCAAGGTTAAGGTGTACTAACTAACAAAGCCATAGTTGTTGGTTCAATACTACTGTTCAAGACAAAAAAAAAGTTTACAGGTTCATGAAGTGTCCTCATAAAATTTAATTGAAATTTTCCCAAGTCAGGAACCTCATTAGTTGTTGTCTTAAGTCATTTTTTAATGATTTTTTTTATTTGAATATACCAGTAATATGTGTTGGTGGCAGATCTTTGACAGTTCTGGTTAAATTTATTTACAACATATCTTGACAATTTGAGATTGATATAGACACCAGTCTATTGCTGAAGACTGTATGTAACCCTTTAGATATCTTTTGGTTATTAGTGTTGTTGGGTTACTGTCTAATTAACTTACATCCACAATATCCTTTTATTCATAATATGTCAAGCAAAGAACTGCTGTAGAATATATAGTAGTTGATGTTAGCAATAGCAATCATACATTCAATTGGGTTCTTTGACATCTTAACTGATTGAAAACAGTTTGCACTGTGAAATTTTCTTCTGGAAAATACATAAAACATATCTTGCAAAAGTTGAATCAAAGATTGATTGATTGATTTATTGGCATTTAACACCACTTTCAGCACTATTGGCAATTTCTTGGCAGTCACTTTTTATTGCTGGAGGAAGTTGGAGTACCAGGAGAGAACCAGGACCTTCTGCAGGAAAAATGACACTCCTAGTCAATTAAGATTGGAGTCGAACACACCTGCCACATGCAGGGCTCGAACTCACAACCTCTGTGTTGACAGGCTAGTGGTATAGTAGTTTGACTACTTAGACCACTTGGTCACATAGGCTCCTTGACTCAAAGAAGAACATCAGAAGAAGTAAGAATGTCCATATCATGTTTCCCTTGATACCTGATAGTTCTCTGGAAGTATCATTTCAAAAGATTACATCAAATTACAATGTTGTTTTATTGAATAATTTTATGACAGTGATTTCATTAATATAAATATCATTAGCTTTTCCAAAGTTTCTTTTGGAAAAACACAAAAAAAACTTATTTGTCAAAAAGTTTTATATGAAAATTATAAAATATGTGTGTCACAATTTTTCTAAAACATAACAATTCAAGTTGACATTTTTTTTACATATCAACATGTTTTAAAACAGTGGTAATGAGATTATAAGAAGTATAACCACTATATAGCCTGATTCAAACTGAAATAAAAATCTACAGGAATTTTTCAATCTTTTTAAGACACTTCTAACAAAATTCCAATAACTAGTCATTGAAGATAATAAAAATTGTTTTGACCATACAAGGCCTTATCAAGCAGCTTCAATTACAAAACATCATTAAAAACAGACAATATTCTAAGAGATTTATGAGCACAAATGTCAATAACTAAAATATTTCTGGTTAGTTCAGAATATTTGAAAATTATAAAAACAGTTTGCCTGTTTCTCTGTTTATCAAGGGCTGCACTTTTCAAAACTTTAAAAAAAAATTCTAATCCTAACGGCTGACAAAGTATTTTATACTGTCCTCTATCAACAAAGAAAATGAAAAACTATACAGTTCTCCATAATTCATTTCTTTCTTTTTTGTTGCAGCAAGTTTTGTCCAATCGAAAGTAAGGTGCTTAATAAGGGGCAATTGTTTCTATTTCTTTTCTTATCACTATCATGATGAAAATTATTATTAAAAACAGAAATCTTAACTCAAAACTTCATTTGTAGTCACTACATGTTCTAATTAGTTGCTGATTTAGGTGCCTACTCCTTATGGCTCTACATATATGTTTAATGCAGAATTTTTACAAGTCCTATTCATAAAGTTGTTTTGCTGGTGGCCTCCCCTTTTAAAATCCTGGATCCGCACCAGCTAATTATCTTTGAAATTTGAAAAGAATTATATTATTTTTTTTCCACAAAATTTGGAGACAATATCTGCTGTAAACAGAAATTAAATATTTTCTATTATTTTATTTTATTTCAGACACAAGGTTGAAAGATCAAACAACTCACATGATACTGCACAAAATATTTACATAAGTATATCTAACAATCTCTACATAACAATATATTAATAACAAATAATTTCACTGTATAAATTATTGTGGTTTGAATTATCATTAAATAAACGAAACTGTGTAAAATAGAGGCTCCAAAAAATCTATAATTCATAGCATAACTTTTGCAATGAAGGACCTAGGTATCATGTCTGTTTGAAGCGTTACAGGGTTTTAAAGGAGAAGTTCATGAAATAATATTCTTAATGGTTTATAGTATTTCATACTAAATGCTGCTTGAAAGAAACATTCAACAAAATTCATAAGTCAAATCGATAAATATATAAATATCAAAATTTGGTAAACCACAATGAAACTCCACTGTAATATGTGACTTATCAATTAATATAATATGCAAGGATGGCAGATGATGGATGAAAAACTGTCATTTCATTAAATTGAATGAGTTCAATGATCATAATTATGTCAAAAGTAGGTCAGTCAAAACATAACTCATATGTGATCAGTAACAATTCAGTTTACAATTATATAAAATATATTAACTTAATAGCTGCAAGGACAGATGAGAGTTGCAAAATGACCATTTGGATCAAGTGAGTTAAAAAATAAGAGAACTGGCCAATGAAAACTAGTAATTGTGCAACTTTTGGAGAAAAAAAGCCTCTTTTATGAAATAAAGTCTCATAACTCTGCTAAAACAAATTCATCAAAACTGAAAGCTGATTTAACTTTATGAATAATGACATTGTACATAGTTTCAAAATTGTCAGCGCTAACCAGTCACTGTTCAATATTAAAAAAATAAATTTCAAAGTTTTTATTACTTCCTCTGATAAAATAAACAAAAAGGTAAAGATTAATCAAATACTTTCACACATCAATATATGTCAATATATCACATCACAGTTGTAATTATGTGTGACATCAAAATGTATTCTTTTTAAACAAACATAGAAAAATATCACAATGATATAATTTATCAATTCACATTTTAATACATTTCAGCTGCAACAAATGTTAACAGAGTAAAAGTTATTGAGAAATTCTTTTTTTCTGAAAGGTAAAATATTTTCTTCACAGATCATACAGATAAATAATTATTACACAAGAGAATAGATTAATGATCATGTAAGTTTCTGTTGAATGCATTATATGCACTGTCCAAGTCAAATAACATCTGTCTAACTTGTCCATCATCTAACTCTTCATGTGCTGACATTCCACTCAATGTATCTAACCTAAAAATATACAAAGACATTGTAATAATAAACAAAGGCTACATTTGTCTTTTGTTTTAAGAACTAAACATTATTAGGTATATACTGTGGACTCATTGTTATTCATGAAAAACCAACTTTCATGGATTTCCTGGGTAAAGGAGAACCACCAATTTAAATGTTCAATGAAGTTCCAATTTTCTTTAGGCTTGTATGCAGACTTTGGCAAAACCACAAAATCAAATATCCACGAAAATACAATTTTTGCTCAATCCACAAAAATTGGTACCAACCAAAATAAATGAATAAACACTCCACAGTATTCTGTTTGTAATTGAGATGCACATGTTTCCTAAATAAATGATTCCACAGTATTCTGTTTGTAATTGAGATGCACATGTTTCCTAAATAAATAAATCCACAGTATTCTGTTTGTAATTGAGATGCACATGTTTCCTAAATAAATGAATCCACAGTAATCTGTTTGTAATTGAGATGCACATGTTTCCTAAATAAATAAATCCACAGTATTCTGTTTGTAATTGAGATGCACATGTTTCCTAAATAAATAAATCCACAGTATTCTATTTGTAATTGAGATGCACATGTTTTCTAAATAAATGAATCCACAGTATTCTGTTTGTAATTGAGATGCACATGTTTCCTAAATAAATAAATCCACAGTATTCTGTTTGTAATTGAGATGTACATGTTTCCTAAATAAATAAACCCACAGTATTCTATTTGTAATTGAGATGCACATGTTTCCTAAATAAATAAATCCACAGTATTCTTTTTGTAATTGAGATGCACATATTTCCTAAATAAATGAACCCACAGTATTCTATTTGTAATTGAGATGCACATGTTTCCTAAATAAATAAATCCACAGTATTCTGTTTGTAATTGAGATGCACATGTTACCTAAATAAATGAATCCACAGTTTTCTGTTTGCAATTGAGATGCATATGTTTCCTAAAAGCATACTTGTTATCTTTGATATTTATGTGGGAAGTACCTATGAAAGATACTTTAGAAGAAAAAAAATTACTTGGGTAATGAAATAAAATAACAAAGCAAACTAAAATATCTCACTATTAAAGAACTGAAATAGATCACCAAGAAACTTTGCAAATAACTGTCATACCTAATTTCCTGAGATAACAGACATCAATGATATGTAAAGTTTTAAATCAGTATATTTCCTATTTTTCTGTTACATTGATTTTAAAACTTCTTCCTCAAACTGGGAATTGACCTTACCTACATTTCATTAATATCAAACTTAGTAAATTTACCATTTTTTAACTTTATCTCTTCCCTCAAAGTCTTCTGGCAGGATGCTCAGTCTGTTCATTGTCTCATTCAGTTCTCTCAGATCTGGATGTATCTGTGAAAAAGTGCATATTGATTATTAAGAAAACAGCACTCAAAAGTTTCACAAATGTGTATAAATAATTACGTAATATTTAATAGATAAAACAGAATCAATAAATATGAAATTATGTTCTGAAACATAAATTTGACCAACAAACCACACCAAACTATTAAAGAATGTGTTACATGATATATATATAATAGATAATAAATCTGACATATCATGAGATTCCTGCAGTACATTCTTCTCTCCTTCTTATCTGTTCTTTATCCAATGGTTCATCAGATTTGTAACTTACTAGCTTGGGCTAGATAAGCCATTTTTAATTTGTGGAGGCAACTGAAACATACAGAGAGAACCAAGGACCATCGGCAGGATAAACATGCAATCCTTCTCACTTAAGATTGGAGTTCAACACACCTCTCACAAAGCAGTGCTGTAACTCAAAATGACAGGCTATACCTAGTGGTTACTGTAGCTGAACTACTTTGACAAATTGGCCACCTAAAATTTTAAAATGCAAATAGTTTTACAAATGATGTGCCATATATTAAAGTTAATTGTATTTACCTCATCCATAGCTCTGATTTCTAATCTTAATTTATCCATGACTGTAATAAACAACTGAAAAGAGAGAAACAATGTTGTGTGAACAAAATTGGACTGAATGTTTCTTGGAGACTTTCAAACTTTAAACTGTTGTAAGTAAGATATACTCCCCAATATGAAAAAGTATGAAATTTGGTCATAATGACTTTTATTGTATATACATGTACTAGAAAATGTAGGACATAAACAGAAGAATAGTCTAATTGAAAATGTTACCCTGGTCATTACATAATGTAGTAAATAGGTGACAGAATAAAGACAGAAAATAATTGACCAAAAAATAAGAAATAACAAGTCTGTCAAACTTCAAGGTAATTTCAATATTCTAACATTAAACGAACTGACAATGTAAGTTATATTCAGTCTGCAATAAAAATTAACTGATACTTCATCTTCTGTTTTTTGCTGATAAAATGCTTATTAATAATGAATATAGCGAGTTATAAAAAATCCATACTGAGACAATATCTGCTATGCATCTACTGGTATTGCCTTTGTCATCTTTAATTGTGATTGGTCGATCTTCTTTTATTCTTTCTAGTGCTGCAGGACAGTCAAGCTAAAAATAATGAAAATAAAATTTGACAAGTTTTTCATCAGATTTTAAAGCTTTATTTTTAGTATTCAATAATACTTTCTTAAAATGTTGGGTTTACTCAGAAACGTGCAATTTATTTCATCTGTGAATGCTACAAAATACAGGAAAAAAGTGAAAGTTATGTTTGATCCAAGTCCCAGTAACTTCATTTCTGTGTGTAGCTTCATGAACTTTCATTGGATATTGAGGGCATACATTTCTGAAATAAATTACATTCATTTGTTCATTTCATTTGATTGATCAAGTTAACATTGATTATGATTGAAAAATGAAGAATATCTGCTTGTTAACTCAACTGAAACAATTTATTTGTTTAAAATTTTTAAAAGATTATATCTTACCCTGTATTTTTTCATGAATTCTTCAACTGTTTTGAATTCACTCTGTACTTGTTTAAAAGCAATTTTGTACTGTACCAGCAGTTTAGAACAAGCAGCTGTGTATCTGTAATAAAATCATTTCCAATAAATTTCTTTCCAATTATCTCTACTTTAAAAACCATAGGAAGACCAATGATTTTTTTTGAACACTGATTTGTAGATGGAGATACCCATTCTGTTCCATTAAATTACCTAATATCATTTGATTGAAATGTCAGTTTAAATTGTACACTTGTACAAATAAAAGAAATAAGTAGTTATCTTATTATAATATAAAAGTCAAGAACTTTTAAAAATATAACCTGGGTAAAGATCTCACTTACTCTTTTGCCTGGATAGCATCTTTTATGTAAGCTTTTTCTAAACTCTGCAGTGTGTTGATCACAGCATATAAATCTGCCATATTGTCATACCTGAAAAGTAAAATGTATCTTAACAAGTAAAAAGACTGTGTTTCACATATAAAGCTGACCCTTCTCAAAATTGAAACAAAATCAAGATACCTTTTAATACTGTTTTATATCATTTATTTTACAGTATTTGCATTTTATTTCTACATTTAACCTGTTAAGTTCCTCTTCATTTATAAGCTACCACAAATACAATATCTGCATCCAAAACTAAAAATGTACTTTGAATCAAATGCAAATAAAAAAATTGCTTACTAGATGTTTTTTTATTGAACTTACTTTTCTCTATCCCTTGCTGTTCTGTATAACTTTACCTCCTATTAAAGTTCAATTAATATAACACATTAATCATAATTGTTGAAGTTTGTTTTATAATCAAATCAAGTAACACCAAAAGTTAATAAAATGCTTCGCTGGGCGCAGCTTGATACGACCGCAAAGGTCGAACCCTGAACAGTTGGGGCAAGTATGGACACAACATTCAAGCTTGATACAGCTCTGAATTTGGATTATGATTAAATATTTGACACAGCATAGGTTTCTGAATGTGGTCTAAGAACTTGAATTTTGTTAATTTACCTATTATGGTCCAATGTCCAATATCAAAATACATGGTTGGATTCAGCATATCAAAGAACCCCATATATTAAATTTTTGTTGAAATAAAAAAAAGTTTAATTTTGAACCCCAACTTGGACCAACTTGAAAACTGGGCCCATAATCAAAAATCTAAACACATGTTTAGATTCAGCATATCAAAGAACCCCAAGAATTCAATTTTTGTTAAAATCAAACTAAGTTTAATTTTGGACCCTTTGGACCTAAATGTAGACCAATTTAAAAAAAAGGGACCCAAAATTAAAAATATAAAAACACGGTTAGATTTGGCATATCAAAGAACCCCAATAATTCAATTTTTGATGAGTCAAACAAAGTTTAATTTTGGACCCTTTTGACCTCAATATGAACCAATTTGATAGCGGGGCCCACAAATAAAAAATCTAAATACATGGTAAGATTCAGCATATCAAAGAACCCCATATATTCAATTTTTGTTGAAATCAAACAAAGTTTAATTTTGGACCCCGATTTGGACCAACTTGAAAACTGGGCCAAAAATCTAAAATCTAAATACATGTTTAGATTCATCATATCAAAGAACCCCATATATTAAATTTTTGTTGAAATCAAACAAAGTTTAATTTTGGACCCCAACTTGGACCAACTTGAAAACTGGGCCCATAATCAAAAATCTTAACACATGTTTAGATTCAGCATATCAAAGAACCCCAAGATTTCAATTTTTGTTAAAATCAAACTAAGTTTAATTTTGGACCCTTTGGACCTTAATGTAGACCAATTTAAAAAACAGTCCCCAAAATTAAAAATCTAAATACACGGTTAGATTTGGCATATTAAAGAACCCCAATAATTCAATTTTTGATGAAATCAAACAAAGTTTAATTTTGGACCCTTTTGACCTCAATATGAACCAATTTGATAGCAGGGTCCACAAATAAAAAATCTAAATAAATGGTTAGATTCAGCATATCAAAGAACCCCATATATTCAATTTTTGTTGAAATCAAAAAAAGTTTAATTTTGGACCCCAACTTGGACCAACTTAAAAACTGGGCCAAAAATCAAAAATCTAAACACATGTTTAGATTCAGCATATCAAAGAACCCCATATATTCAATTTATGTTAAAATCAAACTAAGTTTAATTTTGGACCACTTGGAACTTAATGTAGACCAATTTAAAAAAAAAGGGACCCAAAATTAAAAATATAAAAACACGGTTAGATTTGGCATATCAAAGAACCCCAATAATTCAATTTTTGATGTAATCAAACAAAGTTTAATTTTGGACCCTTTTGACCTCTATATGAACCAATTTGATAGCGGGGCCCACAAATAAAAAATCTAAATACATGGTTAGATTCAGCATATCAAAGAACCCCATATATTCAATTTTTGTTGAAATCAAACAAAGTTTAATTTTGGACCCCAATTTGGACCAACTTGAAAACTGGGCCAAAAATCTAAAATCTAAATACATGTTTAGATTCATCATATCAAAGAACCCCATATATTCAATTTTTGTTGAAATCAAACAAAGTTTAATTTTGGACCCCAACTTGGACCAACTTGAAAACTGGGCCCATAATCAAAAATCTAAACACATGTTTAGATTCAGCATATCAAAGAACCCCAAGAATTCAATTTTTGTTAAAATCAAACTAAGTTTAATTTTGGACCTTTTGGACCTTAATGTAGACCAATTTAAAAAACAGTCCCCAAAATTAAAAATCTAAATACACGGTTAGATTTGGCATAGTAAAGAACCCCAATAATTCAATTTTTGATGAAATCAAACAAAGTTTAATTTTGGACCCTTTTGACCTCAATATGAACCAATTTGATAGCAGGGTCCACAAATAAAAAATCTAAATAAATGGTTAGATTCAGCATATCAAAGAACCCCATATATTCAATTTTTGTTGAAATCAAAAAAAGTTTAATTTTGGACCCCAACTTGGACCAACTTGAAAACTGGGCCAAAAATCAAAAATCTAAACACATGTTTAGATTCAGCATATCAAAGAACCCCATATATTCAATTTATGTTAAAATCAAACTAAGTTTAATTTTGGACCACTTGGACCTTAATGTAGACCAATTTAAAAAAAAAGGGACCCAAAATTAAAAATATAAAAACACGGTTAGATTTGGCATATCAAAGAACCCCAATAATTCAATTTTTGATGTAATCAAACAAAGTTTAATTTTGGACCCTTTTGACCTCTATATGAACCAATTTGATAGCGGGGCCCACAAATAAAAAATCTAAATACATGGTTAGATTCATCATATCAAAGAACCCCATATATTCAATTTTTGTTGAAATCAAACAAAGTTTAATTTTGGACCCCAATTTGGACCAACTTGAAAACTGGGCCAAAAATCTAAAATCTAAATACATGTTTAGATTCATCATATCAAAGAACCCCATATATTCAATTTTTGTTGAAATCAAACAAAGTTTAATTTTGGACCCCAACTTGGACCAACTTGAAAACTGGGCCCATAATCAAAAATCTAAACACATGTTTAGATTCAGCATATCAAAGAACCCCAAGAATTCAATTTTTGTTAAAATCAAACTAAGTTTAATTTTGGACCTTTTGGACCTTAATGTAGACCAATTTAAAAAACAGTCCCCAAAATTAAAAATCTAAATACACGGTTAGATTTGGCATAGTAAAGAACCCCAATAATTCAATTTTTGATGAAATCAAACAAAGTTTAATTTTGGACCCTTTTGACCTCAATATGAACCAATTTGATAGCAGGGTCCACAAATAAAAAATCTAAATAAATGGTTAGATTCAGCATATCAAAGAACCCCATATATTCAATTTTTGTTGAAATCAAACAAAGTTTAATTTTGGACCCCAATTTGGACCAACTTGAAAACTGGGCCAAAAATCAAAAATCTAAATACATTTTTAGATTCAGCATATCAAAGAACCCCATATATTCAATTTATGTTAAAATCAAACAAAGTTTAATTTTGGACTCTTTGGACCTTAATGTAGACCAATTTGAAAGGAACCCAAAATTAAAAATCTAAATACAAGGTTAGATTCGGCATAACAAATAAATAAATGTGGTCAAAGATTTTACAAATCTAATGCGCCATACTGTGCAATTAAAGATTACTTCTTGAAATTTTTCAATATTTGAAATTTGAAAAAAAAAAAATATTTGAAGAATAATTCTTTTTAATTTCTGAAATCCGAAATGAGACCCCCCACAATTTCTTTTTACCCCCCCCCCCCCCCTTTTTCCCCAAAAAAATTCTTTCCCTCAAGATATGGTCATCATCTCAATTCAAATTTCCAATGGAGTTTGCAACCATAATTACCCATTTAAATTTACCATAGTGCTAACTTAATCTATTTTATAATAGAATTTAAAATATAGTGTCAAATCTTTCATATGGATTTTTTTGTAAAAAAAAAAGATGCAACATTTGCAGATATTTTTACTGGTCTTCCTTTATAAATATGCATTTCTTTAAACATAATTTAAAAGCAGTGTAAGGGAAGTAACCAACACGTTGTATTTGGATTACCTCCCTTACACTGTTTTAAATTATCTTAATTGTTCATTAACCATTACTTTATACATAATTTAAAAGCAGTGTAAGGGAGGTAATTTCAATGATGTATTTGATTTATCTCCCTTACACTGTTTTAAATTATGTTTTGTACTAAAGTATTTGTCCATTAACCAGGACAACCTTGTTTTTCCCCCTTTTTTCCCCCTAATTCCTAAACAGTTTGAGCCATAACCCCCCAAAGCAAATCCTATCCATCCCTTTGTGGTATGGAAACTTGTAGTATAATTTCAGAGAGATCCATACACCGTTCCACAGTAATTGTCTGGAAACTAGAAAATGCTTATTTTTGGCCCCTTTTTGGTCCCTAATTACTTAACTGTGGGTACCATAACCCCCAACATCAATCCCAACCTTCCTTTTGTGGTATTGAACCTTATGGTAAAATTTCATTGAGATCCATTCACTTAAACTAAAGTTAGAGTGCGAAAACTAATGTGTCTTCGGACGAAGACGACGCCAGACAACGATGACGACGACGACGCCAACGTCATACCAATATACGACCACAAAATTTGTTTTGCGGTCGTATAAAAACAACTACAAGCTTCTTCCACAGTTCAAATTAGTACTATTAAGCACAAACAATATTTCCATAAATACAAATTGTAATAAAATGCTCCGCAGGGTGCAGCTTGATACGACCGCAGAGGTCGAACCCTGAACAGTTGGGGCAAGTATGGACACAACATTCAAGCTTGATACAGCTTTGCATTTGGATAGTGATTAAATATTTGACACAGCATAGGTTTCTGACACAGAATGAATGTGGTCTAAGAACTTAAAAATTTTAAATTGGACATTCACCTATTATGGTCCAATATCCAAAATCTAAATACATGGTTAGATTCAGCATATCAAAGAACCCCAAGAATTCAATTTTTGATGAAATCAAACAAAGTTTAATTTTGGACCCTTTCGACCTCAATGTGGACAAAGTTGATAACGGGGCCCAAAAATCAAAAATCTAAATACATGGTTAGATTCAGCATATCAAAGAACCCCATATATTCAATTTTTGTTGAAATCAAACAAAGTTTAATTTTGGACCCTGATTTGGACCAACTTGAAAACTGGGCCCATAAACTAAATACATGTTTAGATTCAGCATATCAAAGAACCCTAAGAATTCAATTTTTGTTAAAATCAAACTAAGTTTAATTTTGGACCCTTTGGACCTTAATGTAGACCAATTTGAAAACGGAACCAAAAAATAAGAATCTAAATACACGGTTAGATTCGGCATATCAAAGAACCCCAATAATTCAATTTTTGATGAAATCAAACAAAGTTTAATTTTGGACCCTTTGGACCTCAATGTGGACCAATTTAAAAACGGGGCCAAAAATCCAAAAACTAAATACATGGTTAGATTCAGCATATTAAAGAACCCCAAGAATTCAAGAATAAAACCCCATTGAAATTGGTCAAGAAATAAGCAATTTATACGAAGTATCTTCTTTTGCACAATACTGTGCAATTAAATATTTCTTGCTATTGCGCAATACTGTACAACTGACAATTTCTTGCTATTGCGCAATATTGTGCTATTGGATATTTCTTGCTATTGCGCAATACTGTGCAATTGAAGATTTCTTGCTATTGCGCAATACTGTGCAATTGAAGATTTCTTGCTATTGTGCAATACTGTGCAATTGAAAATTTCTTTCTATTGCACAATACTTATTATATAATAATTTACACATCCTGTTTGGTGTGTATCTCCTACCATATCATTATTATTTGCTTTTAAATATAAATCAGAAATAACCAACTTCAAATGGAAAATTTTAAAAGAAAAAAAAAGGAAAAAAAAAAAAATCCCCCCCCAAATTTTTTGAACCCCCTTATGATTCATCACACCCAAACTCAATCCCAGCCTTCCCTTTGTGGTATGGTTCCTTGCAGTACAATTTCAGAGAGATCCATACACTTGAACACAAGTTATTGTCTGGAAACTAGAAAAATGTGTTTTTTGGCCCCTTTTTGGCCCCAAATTCCTAAACGTTTAGGGCAATTACCCCCAAACTCAAACCCAGCTTTCCCTTTGTGATATGGAACCTTGTAGTACAATTTCAGAAAGATCCATACACTTACACACAAGTTATTGTCATGAAACTAGAAAAATGCTTGTTTTTTGCCCCTTTTTTGGCCCCTAATTCCTAAAATTTCGAGGCAATTACCCCCAAAATCAATCCCAGCATTCCTTTTGTGATATGGAACCTTGTGGTACAATGTCAGAGAGATCCATACACTAACACACAAGTTATGTCTGGAAGTTACAAAAATGCTTATTTTTGGCCCCTAATTCCTTTACTGTTGGTACCATAACCCCCAACATCAATCCCAACCTTCCTTTTGTGGTATTGAACCTTGTGGTAAAATTTCATGGAGATCCATTCACTTAAACTAAAGTTAGAGTGCGAAAACCAATGTGTCTTCGGACGACGCCTGACGACGACGACGTCATACCAATTTACGACCACAAAATTTTTTTTGCGGTCGTATAAAAACAGTAAATTTGAATTATAACAATGTCAACCATACACATGTATACAAAAAATTGTGATACATTAAAAATATGATTATTTTCTTGATAAAATGTAAAAAAAATTATGCCACATGTACATTAAAAATATGATTATTTTCTTGATAAAATGTTAAAATATGTAGTTTTATAATAAAAAATACTTGTTCTTATGAGCTGTTTCACCACTGTCCCATGTTAGGGGAGGCTTGCTAACATGTTAAACCTGCCACATTTTGTATGTGCCTCTCCCAATTAAGGAGCCTGTAATTCAGCGGCTGTTGTTTATTGCTGTCTATCATCCATGTATGTGTTTTTCATTTATTGTTTTGTACATAAATCAGGTCATTGCTTTTCTTGTTTGTAATGTTTTGCATTTTGTCCTGTCAGAGGGCATTTTTTAGCTTACTGTATGGTATTGTGTTTGCTCTTTGTTGAGGGTCATACAGTGAGCTATAGTTGCTCACATCTAAGTCATTTTAACTTAGGTGGATAGTTGTGTACACTAGCAATCCTACTACCGTACATCTCTTTTTTCTTATATTAATTTATTAAGTTCACTTTTACCTCATACAGAGCTGAGTTGTTTGATGATGCTGTAATATAAAATAATTACAGTATAATTAAAATACATAACATTCAGCAACTGTTCAAAGAAGAATGTCTAGGAAAGTTTTTAATTTTCTGAAACATAATAAAATGCATTTAAATTTTATTTATTTAGTTCTTGCCATGCCTTAGAAACTTTTCCAGGTTCATTTGTACACAGGTTTGTCTGTAATACTAATTAATATAACAATAAGCTTTATTCGGAGCTGGCATGGTTTACTAAATTTATAAACAAAGACTTTAACGTATGTTCTATTGAGCTTTTAACCATACTTTGTGGTGTAAACACAGCCATATTTATCAATTCCATCTGATGAACCTCAAGTCTTGTGACAGTATGACAAGTTAAATTTGGATGAGTTATGAAAATAAATCTGCATGCTGACCTCCAACACAATGGCTAAGGTAAATACATGTAACTCTTACTCAAATTATGAAAATCAAAACTATCTACATGTATTTGGGTACATTGTAGTTTCATTGAAAAAGAAACTGGTAATTTTTTACTTTCTAATTTTTTATATCAGACCATTCCGGCCCCAAGTTTTGTGAGGTATTTGCTATGGGAAAGTGGCAATTTGCACAAGAAAAAGTTATGTAAATTTCCCTTAAAAATCCACTACTAATTTGGAGTTTTGGTGAGTATTAAAAACACTTTTGAACATAAATTAGCATACATGTACCATATATCAGGTTTTTTTTTCGCGCAATATGATGACAAAATTGGCAGATTAAATTTTAACTGTATTGCTTTTATAAACAACATACATGTACACTTGATTGAATGACAGATCATTGATTACAAATAAATACATTACAAATAAATACGAATAATACAAACTAAAATGCACATAATTCTGAGAACTCTCAAGGAAAGTAAATTATATACATTGCAGCATTCTAAAAATTGAGAAAGTTGCGATCATTTTTGTGATGGTTTAACAGAGCATTCTTAGCTAGGCATATTTGCACAAATATCTGTGTAAATTAACATTTTTGAACATGTCACTTATTGCTGTGTTGTCAAAAGGTAATACATGTATGATTCACCAATTCAATTATTATGAAAACAGAGATTTTAATTTAAAATGTACATTCTTCTGATCTGTCAATCAACAAAAAAGGCTCATATTTTTTGGTAAAATGTTATTTCACCTTTAGGGTAAAAAGAGTTTACATATCAATTTTAGTGAATACTCATTATAGTCATGTTAATTAATAGTATAATTGATGAAACGTTTAAGCAGTGATAAATCTTGGAAAATGCAGGGAAAGTTACTCTGGTCAAATTTTCAGCTTCTCTGAGGGTAGGAATGTCCTTTTTCTTCAAACGTCCTGTTTTCGCTACCGTTAGCTTCAAAGCTTTCACGTCGATCCGGCCCCACGTCGATCCGGCCCAAGTCAATCCGTCCCACGTCGATCCGGCCCAACGTCGATCCGGCCCATATTTAAAGTCGATCCGGCCCAATAAAAAAATATATCTATAAGGAATAAAAATAAAGATATATATTAATTGTAATTCATAAATGTTTATGAATTTTATTATAATGTAAAAGGTGTACGGTAAAAAAAAATGGCCTTTGACAAATATTTTCTTCAGATGAGTTTAAAACAACTATTTTGATTATGTTTTCATTACAAGTTTTTAAAATTAATGGATATAATTATAATAAAAACGTATATAACAAAATTTAGTACAATCAACAGACATCAACATCAATCAGCAGTAATTAGCATTTTCTTTCAATTGACTGTGATCTTAACAAGTCTTTTTTTTTTCCATTTCTCTCCGCTTCGTTAGTACCCAATTTCCGGTGGCGATGATACACAGTGACCAAGTATCAACGGTCACAGGGACGCCTCTCTTCACTATGGGAGCAACTTCAAGACGGTACCATCACCACCTCCTTCTTCCTTCGTGCCGTCGGACACATGTACGACATTCCTGTGCCAGACCCAGAACCAGAAGAAGACACTGACAGCGAGTGATTTAAATAAAAATTGACATTGAGTGAATTGTATGACTTGTATTATGTTAGTGCATATATGGCTACAATCTATATGTTTATATAACATTTATTTATTAAATGCTTAATGAGTATTCTTTATGTTTAGGATAATATAGTGCGTTTTTTCTTGGTGAGCTAATCAAATTGAACAGTTATAGTGCTGTTAGTTGTTCTATATATATATGTACTGCGTATGATAGTTACTGTATATGTTATTGTAGTGTTGCAAGTGTGACCCCTTTTATATTATGTAAGTGACAGTGTAACTGTTAGTGTAAATGATTTAAGAGTTATATATATTTATGTGAGTGTCAGAGATAGTGTGTTTGTTAGTGTGTATGAATTTATTGTTATATTATAGTAATGCTGATATTATATTTTAGAGAGTGAAAATGTGCATTCAGTGTAATTATTTTGTTATTATCTTGCAATAAAGAATAATGGATACTCATGTAACTTGTTTTTTATCTACACACAACTATTCAAAATATTGTCAACTTTAAAAAAAAAATATATTGACTACATTCGATATTACAAAAAAAAACATGTATTATAGAAGCCTCTGATGTTACCTGAAAAAAAAATACAATTAATTATTATAACACATAACACCAAACAAAAGATCAAACTATAAAGACCTTGTTGATTACGTAACTTTAATCAATCAGGATTTGATTGAATTAAGTGATTACGAGTGGCATTACCTTAGTTCACAATCATTAGACAATTGTTGAATAAACAAACCAATTATAGACTAATGATTTGATTAAACAAGTCATTATGATGAGTTAAATTTTATAGGTTCCATTGGACTGTAAATATTTATTTAGTTATTCTGTGTGTGAATTAAATAAAATAAAAATCGCCATGACATTCAAAGTTATCATGGAAAATAACTTCATATTAAAATATGTTGAAGCTGCTATACAAACAGACACAATCACACTCATTTTCGTATCGATGTAAAATAACTCTTTGACTGGTACTCCAATACTTCACTTACCTGTTGTCATCCATCAACGATACTTTTTACAAATTCCATTTATACTGTTAAAATTTGTCACAAAATCCTCCAAAGTCAATATAGTTTATTCATATTTTATTATGGGGCCGGATCGACGTAGGGACGGATCGACGTGGGCCGGATCGACTTGGGACGGATCGACTTTGAGCCGGATTGACTTGGGGCCGGATCGGTTTGGGGACGGAACGACCGGATACCGCTTCAAATGATCCCTAATTTTTTATCGTCATTCGTCAAATCTAATTTTGTAGCTACCGTGAGAATCAAATAGAGTAAAATATTTATCATTAATGTTATTTCAACAAAAATATGTTACCGTCATTCGTAATGTAGGGCACCCCATTACTACCCTCTTCTTTAACTGACACAAACAAAGGCGGCAAGCATAGATGAAACATGCGAGAAAAAAACATCGGCCAGATAAACTGGGGCCAGAACAATTTGGCACAGAACGACTTCAAACAGTTAGGTTCAAGGGCTAGAAATGATAAATCAGAAAACAGACGCACAGGTACTTGTTTCTGTAGAAAAGTACTGTATTAATATTATTAAAGGCAGTGGGTGTTTATTTTTTTTACAGAAACAAGTGACTGTGCTCTGACCACTAAATTATAGTAAATACCAATAAGGGTTATACTTCTTTTTGGAGACAAAACTGTGTTTACCTTGGTGACTGGGTGGAACTTGTGCAAACATTGCCTTTCTTTGTTAGTTTTTTCCTCAAATATTTCTATAAAATAAATATGACGTTTGTTTTGGTTCTGATCATGAGTCATGTCCCTTTTCCTTTGTAATAAAATTTATTTACAAAACGAAGTTTCATTTTGAATGACGTCCGAGTTTTTTTTATCTTCCAAAACAATATGAAAAATACAAATTAATAAATAAATTGGGTAAAATATTTAATTGTAAAGAATTATTATCGTGAAATGATGTAAAACAAATGTTACAGTTGGTTGTTCTGTATTTTCGTTTTGTTTGCAAATCGAAAATTTAAATTTACCACAAGAAGGAACCAAGTAAAACAATCACTTGTCAAGTTAGGCTGTGAAATTTGTATTATTTACATTGCAAAAGCATGGGAAGCTCACATAGCGTGTTTTCAGAACAAGAATTGACCGATTATCAGGTATACTTGATTTAAAGTAAAGTTGAAAGAATCTCAATGAAAAAAATGAGCCTAAATTCAACGTCACGATATTGTCTATTTTTATACACAAGTCAAAAGATAGGATGACATGTATTATGTATATATGTTGAAAAAGCTTTCAAAATAAGTAAATGACCATAAAATTTATGGCATTCTTCTTTTTGCAGAGAATCACACACTTTATATTAAAAACTCTTAACACAAATAGTACATGTATTATAAAACAGGTTGGGAACAAACCCTCTATATGGTGTTTTTACCTGTATGGAGGGATAATCCTTCTATAGAGGGATAAAAATATCCCTCTATTGAGGGGTATTTTTGTTTAGACTGGATTTAAAACAAAATGAGGCAGATTGGCATTTTCTAGTTATATTGGCTATCATCTATAGTATTGTATGCATCAATTGATGTACTTAATTTAATTTGTACATGCCCAGTTTACTGCTAAACTGTCTGAATATACAATCTATTGTTCATCATAATTGAAAGCTGTGATGATCAGGTAAATTCTACTCAGTTATGCCTCATTGAACAGAATTTCTATTGTTAGATTTAACATAAAATTTAAAGGTCAACTGTCCCTTTTGTTGTTGATCAGGTGTTCAGATAGCTATACAATAGATTTCAAGTTTTGTCACTTTAGCAAAAAACTGGGCATCCCAATTTTTAATAAAGTGCATTTATTGATGCATACAATGCTATAGATTATAGCCAATATAACTAGAAAATGCCAATCTGCCCTATTTTGCTTTAAATCCAGTCTAAACAAAAATACCCCTCTATAAAGGTATAATTGTATCCTTCTATAGAAGGATTATCCCTCTATACAGGTAAAAACACCATGTAGAGGGTTTGTTCCCAACCTGTTAAATAAAACCACTGGCACTGACACTGTGCACAAATTCATTTAATTCATTTCTCTATTGGTAGGTCTTTTCACCACCGAACACCACCGCTGAACACCACCGCTGAACACCACCGAACACATTAAAATACCATCTAACACACCTAAATATATTGTTTTCCTCTTTATTTATATATTTGACTTACCTTCTGAACGAGTATGAATATGTTTATACATATATATACACAAATTAATAAGAAATGATAACAAGAGAACCAAAAAGAACAGTCTTGGCGGGCTGTTGTCAGAACAGTACACTTTCAAGTCTAACATTTTTTTAAATATAATTATTGTGATAATTTCACATTAAATAAAATGTTTTAACTTATTTGAACAATTTATTTCTAATAATTGAAAAGTAAAGACCATAAGATAATATACAATGAAATACAGACAGTGTAAATCCCGAAAAAATATTGCTGGATCCGGAAGCGTTTTTTTTTTGTTTGATTCTCAACCTTAACATCACCAGAGACATATATACACATGTATGTCTCTGACATCACTAATGCACAAAAAAATGTGAAAAACAGGACAATAGGATTAAATTTTACCTAATTTAATCGATTTTATTGTTTTATTGTGTAACATTACTGTTTTTCTTAAGAGTTAGTGGTCTTTTTGGGTGTTCGGTGGTGAAAAGACCGACCCGTCTATGACACAATCATTCATTTGAACAGAAGCAAGTCAACTCGCCCAACCTGCTACCAACTCGCCCCACTTATGAAAAAGAGTAAAATCCCAATGAATAAAAAGGCCTGCCAACTCGCCCCACTGATGAAAAAGGGTAAAATACCATTGAATCTAGTCCTGCCAATTCGCCCCACTTATGAAACAGAGTAAAATCCTGAAGAATGAAGGTCAGCCAATTTCTGGAATCATGTCTTTCACCGGAAAAGATCGTCAATTTCACACAATTTATGACGTCATTTACCAGATAGAAGGCGCGTCTGTATCCCTGCTCTATTAATAGTTTCCAGCATTTTCAGAATCGTAATTCTGTAGGGTAGTATAGAAATAATTTATGTTCTGTAAGTACGTAATCTTGATTCCCGTACGACTGAGGGAGGGTGACCATCTTATTAGATTTTAATTTCCCAAATATTTTGTGCAGTATAAAATCAAATTTTTCACCTGTTTGCTCAACATGTGTTGGAAGTGACGATGCCAACATTTTGGTGACGTGGTGATGGAGGTCACATGACAGATTCAACTAAAAACCGTGTCCCGGAACTTCCGTATTCACTTATGAAAAGGATTTTAATCCCAATGAATAAAGGTCTGCCAACTCGCCCCACTTATGAATAAAAAAATTAAATCTTACTGCATTGAGGACTACCAACTCGCCCCACTTATGAAAAGGAGTTTAATCACATTGAATAAAGGTCTGCAAACTGGCCCCTCTCATGATGATCATGGATAGCTGCTTAATGTCCAGCGGCAAATTAATATGTATATTCAGGACGAGAACATGTTAATGTAATATGAATATTAACCCTGCTTTGTACTAGACCTACACGCTGAGCTGGATTTTTAATGTGCTAGTTCACAAGGTAACAGTCTGTAGGAAGACATGTCACCTTACCCAGACACATTATTCTGACTCCGAGCTGACCAGTCTTTGCTCTTACTCCTTAATGCTGCGTGCTTAGCGGAGAAGCAGCAAATACCAGTTTTGAAGTCTTTGGTTTGACCTGGCTGGGGTTCGAACCCACAATTTCCTGCACTCTAGGTGAATACCACGAGACCACCAAGGCGGTTGGCCCCTCTTATGAAAATAAGAATTAAATCTTACTGCATTAAATACAAAATTTTCTACCTACAACATGTACAATGAACGGACAATATTTTTGTGACAGCGAATAGATCCTTGTTTTACTTGCTTGGCTTGTAATAATTTAAAACTTTATTTCAGTTGTTATTTTCTATTTCATAAACTACATGTCATATATACATTTAAGCTACAGATCTACAACTCCCAGTTTTGGCTACACGTGCTGTTCTTATGTATAAAGTCATGAATATTCAATAGCTATGAAGGCATGTCAAAATTGTATCATATGCGATAATGACCAGCCAGTACACTGTTCTGATTTCTTTAACCAGTATTAAAAAGTTAAATTTAACACAGCCTCACATTTGAAAATTTAACTGTGAAAAGAAATTTCATATTAGACGAGATGTTACAGTGCTAAATTCTACATTTCTCTATATTCAAATAAAATATATTAGAATGCATATTATCATTGTTCAGATGCATTTTTGCATGTTTTATATTTTCTTCCAGGATTTGACATATTTCACTAAGAAAGAGATCCTTCAGTAAGTACTGTTTATGTATTTACTCCTGGTTTAAAGGTCATCCTTAATTACAGTGTTTATAAAGAATTAACTTTATTGAGAACCCTGATTCTTCTGTCAGACATCAATTTAGCCGTGACATTTTTGGTGCTTTTAATACCAATTTACTTTACTGCAGAGGACCCTTATGATAACTCACTGAAAAATGTCAATAAAATGGATGATCCTTCCATTAATACAATTATTTTCATTACTTCATTTTGTGGTTTATTTGATAAGGAAGATCTTTCTTGACTTTTTAACAGAAAAATTTTAAGAAATTGTAACTACATGTACTTAATTTGATAAAAGGTCTCATTGTCATTGATAGTACAGAATAGCAGCTAATTTTCTATATCTGAATCTAAAGGACTGTGGTTAATTTCATAGAAACTTTTAAATCATTAACATCAATATCCAATATTTGGCTAAATCATTAACATCAATATCCAATATTTGGCTAAATCATTAACATCAATATCCAATATTTGGCTAAATCATTAACATCAATATCCAATATTTGGCTAAATCATTAACATCAATATCCAATCTGAGTATCCAATATTTGGCACATTCTTTCTAAATCAAAAGGTTTGGTTGTTAGCTGTTTGAAAATATTAAACTTCATTCTATTGATGCAGATTGCAATAAAAAAAATGGATATAATGTTATTGATGAAACAATTTATGACACAAAATCAATATGCTCACATGTAAAAGTCCAAAAGAAAAGGGACAGTACTTTTATTTCTGTTCTTTATCTTTAAATTCACAGTTAGATTGCAACCTTACATGTTCATCATCTCAAGATTTTCTTATAAATACCTTAGATGGAAAGATATGTGTGATACCTAATGTCAAGGAGACAGCAATATAACAATGTCTAAGAGATACATGTAAATGGTCTTCAGTGATAAGCAAATTGTATCTAAGTTATTCAGGAAAGTTGTAAATCAGAAAGACTACTTATATTAACACTGAATTTATAATTAAAAAGGACATGGGTTTGGGTTTTACTTATTGTTGAAGGCTGTATGGTGACCTATTGTTGTTAACTTCTACATGTTCTATGTCATTTGGTCTCGGGTGGAGAGTTGTCTCAATGGCAATCATACCACATCTTCTTATTTTTATAATCATACCTGATTTGGGGGTGTCTTCAACAATTTGTTTAAGTTTGTGAATATGGGGAAGCACTTATGGTAAGTCAATGATATTTGGTATGTAGTTGTATTAGCACATTTCATTTCTGTTTGTTTTAGTTTTGATAAGATAATTGAATATGTTAGCACAAACCACATTAGTTTGTGATGTTGTCTCAAAATTTGAAGATATGTGCAGAAGAAAAAATATACATGATATACAAATCTTAAACCTAACTGTAGCAAATGTTCATTTTTCATTAAAAATCAATTTCTGAAATAAGTAGGACATGCATCAGATACAAATTTTCATTAATTCTATTTATAAGTTATATATACTTTTTTTTTTGTTCCCCAGTGTTTTTAAGAGATACAAGGATTTATATGAGAACAGCGCTGATGAAAATACTAAAAAGACATCAATTCTGGATAAAGAGAAGATTTTAAAACTACCAGAATTAAAGGTAACAGTATAAATATACTGTCGTTCTACAAAATGACAAGAATATGTAGCTTTCAAATTCAGTGCAGCTGCTGTTCAACTTCATATATACAGCTTTTAATGTACAATAGGTTTGGCAAAAAGTTTGCCCTGAAAATTTGTACTGAACATTATCACATATTTTATTTTAATTTTTTGGCAAACACTGGTTCTTCCTGAAAGTTATTCCTCAACTCAATATTTAAAACCTTCAACAAATGGAGTAAAGTTAGACATATCTTTATATTATGTATTGCATTGATATAAAATAATGAAATGAAATAATCTATGGATATGCAGTATACACAAGATTTATTTGTTGAGAATTGCCATTTGTGTTAAAAATCAGGACAATTTCTGATGACTTTTTGTTAGTGATTTTTTTATTAAATATATATCAAGGGCGTTAAAGGTGAATTACCATAAATGCAATCGTCATTTGTAATAGATAACCAGTGAATGATGTTTGTGACAAATTGTTTTATTAGTAATAATGATAGATGCATTGTAACAATATGTTCAATAAATGAATACACTGATATATTTCAATTTTTAAATATTGTATAGTGTCTGATTGTTAAACAGCTATAGCTCCTATTATTTATACATATAGTAAATGTTCATTCATTTAGTTGTTTTATTTATCGGGTATGACATAATGTCTATTCTGCTTGTGGAATTATTATATTTAGACAATTTTTGTCAGTTTAATAACATTTGTTTTGCTCATTGATGAAGACTACAATGTCAGTGACTTATAGTTGCTTAAATCCACATCATTTGGACTGTAGTGGATAGTAACTGTTGTCTCATTGGCAATTATACCACATCCCTTTTTTATATTGCATTTGGCAATAAGGTGCTTACATATTTTCCTTTGTTTTATAAGTTTCATACAGTGTTTAAACCAGTCCAATAAAATGTATCAATATTCTTTTAGGTTAACCCTTTCAGTGACAGAATTGTAAAAGTTTTCTCCTCAAGCGGAGATGGAAACATGAAATTTGAAGATTTCCTGGATATGATGTCTGTGTTCAGTGATGGTGCACCCAAGAATGTAAAGGTTGAATATGCATTCAGAATTTATGGTATGGCAACAATACATTTCTGTCTTACTGTATATACATATTATGATAAAAAAAATCTGGTATATATATTTAATTGGCATATTTAACAAGGAAGGACAAATCATACTAAAAAACCACTGTGATTCAAACCAAAAAACTCTGAACTGACATTATCAAGATGCTTGATTTCTTGATGGACAACTTATTTGTTATGTTTGGAGGACATGTTTTTCAACAAACAATCAGTATTCCCATGGGAACCAACTGTGCTCCTCTTCTTGTCGACTTGTTCCTTTATTCATATCAGGCAGACTCCATACAGGAGCTTCTTAGGAAGAATGAAAAGAAGCTAGCATTATCCTTTAACTTCATGTTCTGGTATGTAGATGATGTCCTCTCACTAAATCATTCAAAGTTTGGTGACTATGTTGAACGCATCTATCCCATTGAACTTGAAATAAAAGATACAACAGATACAGTCAAGTTTGCTTCATATTTTGAAAAATAAGAATTACATCTAAAAATTGACAATGAAAAATGAAAACGACAACAGAGATGATTTCAGCTTCTTAATTTTGAACTCTCTATTTCTATGTAGCAACATTCCAGCAGCACCTGCATATTGAGTATGGTATACTAGTATATCTCCCAGTTAACACAACATTCCAGAGCTTGCATTTCCTATCATATTTCCTTGATAAAGGGTTTTTGCTAACAAGGAAACTATTAAAGCAAGGGTTCCAAGTGGTGATGTTGAAGTCATCCCTTTGAAAATTTTACAAATGCCATCACAAGTTGGTTGACAGTTATGGAATATCTGTTTCACAGATGACATGGAATATGTTCCTATTGTCTTAACCACAACCTGGTCCTCTTTTCTTCTAATTAGACATCACTGATTAGAATTATCCCCCAAGTTTTTGCTTACATGAGGAACATGTTGAGCAGGATCTGCTAACCAATTGAGATAAAGCCTGGTTTTGGTGGAGTTTGTGTTGCTCAGTCTTTAGTTTTCTATGTTTTGTTTTGTTTATTGTTATTCATCTTTTGGTTGTTATTGGTTTTTTGCCATGGCCTTATCAGTTTGTCATAAACTTAGGAGTTTAGTGCCATGGCCTTGTCGGTTTGTGATAAACTTAGGAGTTTAGTGCCATGGCCTTGTCAGTTTGTAATAAACTTAGGAGTTTAGTGCCATGGCCTTGTCAGTTTGTCATAAACTTAGGAGTTTAGTGCCATGGCCTTGTCGGTTTGTCATAAACTAAGGAGTTAAGTGCCATGGCCTTGTCGGTTTGCCATAAACTTAGGAGTTTAGTGCCATGGCCTTGTCGGTTTGTCATAAACTTAGGAGTTTAGTGCCATGGCCTTGTCGGTTTGTCATAAACTTAGGAGTTTAGTGCCATGGCCTTGTCGGTTTGTCATAAACTTAGGAGTTTAGTGCCATGGCCTTGTCGGTTTGTCATAAACTTAGGAGTTTAGTGCCATGGCCTTGTCGGTTTGTCATAACTTTAATATCCTTTTGGTATCTTCCATCTCTCTTTTAACACACTTAACAATTACCTCAATCATTATACATACACATATTATGTGATAGTGTATGGTTAAATTTGTGTGCAAATCCAAGAACGGCCTGAGTTATGAAATAATAACTTTATCATTCTTATATACTCAATACTCGTCTCAATTTAAAAAACCTCAAGAAAAGATTTTGACAATTGCTACAAATGCAAAGGATTTTTGAAAAAGGAATAATGTTTTTATGCCCCACATAGGGGCATTATGTTTTTGGGCATCCGTTCGTCCGTCTGTTCCGCTTCAGGTTAAAGTTTTTGGTCAAGGTAGGTTTTGATGAAGTTGAAGTCCAATCAACTTGAAACTTAGTACACATGTTCCCTATGATATGATCTTTCTAATTTAATGCCAAACGAGTTTTGACCCCAATTTCACGGTCCACTGAACATAGAAAATGATAGTGCAAGTGGGGCATCCGTGTACGATGGACACATTCTTGTTTCGGTCTGTGATGATATCACAAAGCAAGACAAAGGTGTAAATTTTGTATCAATATCATTGATGGTTCTTTGTAAGCACATAATGTTTAGTTTTTTTAAAGATTCACTTTAGTGTAAGTACATGTAATTATGGTAAATTGCTGATTTTTGGTATATAGTCATAATAGCAATAATACATCTACTTACCATTCACTTCACTCATGTAATATTGTATATCAGTGCAATTGTAGATTTGGAAGGTGCAAAGATTTGCAATTAATTCTTTTACTGTAATGAAAGCCATTTTAAGAAGAAGAGACTTATTAATTTTTACTATACATTTGGTAAGTGGAATATAACATCATATAGGATACAGTTTTTTAATGATAAATCAACACACTATACTCCTTTAATTACACAAAGACAATTTGGGCTAAATGAGTTGACTATTTCAGATTTTGATGAAGATGACATGATTTCCAGTGAAGACTTGAAAGTAGTTGTAGACAGATTGACAGGTGAACAAAACCTGAGTAAAGATGAGATGCAACAACTGATTGACAATGTATGTATACCATGTAAATTATAAACAAATACTACAGATACAAATGACCAGTGTGCATATTTTTTCTAAACATTGGCATATGGTTAATCATGTTGTTATACACTGAAACCTGTCTTAAAAAAATAAATATAAATTAGTTGTATTCAAAGTGCTTTTCTGGATTGACCTTCATCAGGAACCCTCAAAGACAAATAATTTAGCCTAGGATGCATAAGTACTCCAAAAAGATGGGGAGCTATAAGATGACAAACTAAGGATAGCCAAATCTAGCTAAGGTCAAGTTTGTTCAAGGGAGTTGAAACCGTATTTCTTAATAATGTCAAAATTTATGGATGGAAAATTAACTGTACTCATTCTAAATTGAAAACCTGTCGAAGCAGAATTTTATATTAAAATTAATATCAAATTATAAGGGAGTAAAGCAGGCCCTTTTCAGCATGTTGGTTATACAGGATTCTTAAACAGTATTGTTAAAACTTGACAGAACAGGCCATGGAATCATGGATTATTTTTGGATAATGATTGCATGAAATGCAATCAAAACCCTATGGTACTGGCTTGATATCTATATGTTCCAAGGTTGATCACTACCTTAGTTCAAACAAAATAGTGCAGTGAAGTGATCATTATTTAGATCCTATCCAGTCAATGTCATGAAGTTTAATGATGATATGTTATTCTTTGATATTTAAGTTACAATATGATGTGTATTTGAATTACCATACTTGTCAAGAAAACATTTATTCATTAAAAATTACATAAGTAATGCATGGTGTATGAATCTATTATAAAAAAAGGTTAAACTATTAATGTACAATCATGAACAAAGGAATATGACTCCAACTCAAATTTCTTATTTGCCTAGCAAAATAAAATTCAAAGTTTTATTTAAAAATTCAGAAAAATGCAAAATGAAGCAATCTTTGCCCTTCAGTGGTCACAAGCACTTTGATTTATCATTGGTATCTCTATTTTGACAGTTCATGATTGCCTTATAATAAATGACATGTACTTTTCTAGATTCTTGAAGAAGCTGACTTGGATGATGATGATTCCCTGTCTTTTGCTGAGTTTGAACATGTGATATCAAAGGCACCAGATTTTGTGAAGTGAGTTTATATGACTTTGTTTTAAAGTCAATATATGTAACCTTATAAATAATGCTTACTCTGTAATCATGAATATATATCTGTACGTGACTTCACCTAATGCATTTTATAGGAATGCATATGAAATGGTTATGTATAATTAAAGAAAATATATATATTGGGTTATATGTCTGACAATGGTTGAAGGATTGATGTTTGCTTAATATCCAGTGGCAAATATTTCATGCCTTTTCCGGACGAAATATATATGTCAATGAGACAACAACCTCATAACAATACCCAAAAGACATCTAGTCGGCAACATACAGCCTTCAAAAAATTACAGGCATTATGTGTCTGCAATATATGTCATGTTTCAAAAGGTCTCAAGTCTAAAAAAAGTAGGGAATAAATTAAAGAAACTTTAAAAAAAAAAAACTGCCATAAACATCAAATTATTAAAAGATATGACATAACAACCACTGAATATGTTCCTTTAAATGTATCTAACATTATCTTTGGCTAAAAAGAAACTGATCTAGATTGGCCTAAGATTTGGTTTAACAGAATGAGATTGTTTTCAGAGCTATAATTTTTTGTTAAGATAACTATTATATTGGTTATTTCTTCCTCATTTCAGCTCCTTTAGAATTCGGCTGTAGAATCGATTGATGATCAGAAAAAGATCTGTGATAGAAGTGACAATCAATCCATCAGACAACTGTAATAGTGTTCTCTGTATAGACTCTGTAGCATTTAATAGTTATACAATGTTATCTTTATTATTACTAACAGAAATGTAATATACAATATTTTTATACAAACTTGTCAATAAGACTCATTCTTTTAACATGTTTATAATCACAGTTAATGGTCTAACAAGATAATGGTATTCATTTTTTTTTAATCCAGAAAATGCATCCTCAAAATTTAAATTTTAATATTGAAAATTATTCAGTAATTATATGTAATGTCACCTTTGATATTTTGAATTTACTGTCTTTATCAGCAAATTAGTTCAATTTCTCAAGTATACCATTCTTGTTTTTTTTTCAGTTTCATTGCAATTCTTCAATCTTCTATAGTACAAAATAGTCAGCAATGTTTAGGTCACTATAACCTACATTTAGTTGATATTTATTTATACAAAAACTCATGTTGTTGTTGAGGGCATAGGTATCTTGTAGACACATTTTCTTCTTATATGTTGTCTGACCATGTTACATTCAAACTAAGAATGGATTCATTTATTATAGCATTATATGTATATATTCTATGCAATAGTTTGTGTGTTCTCAGGTTTTTTCCTGGATTTTTCTTTATATATAGATACAAGTTTTTTATTCAGTTGTAGTCACATGAAAAGGAAAACTGTATTCTTCGACATTTTATTTGGACATTTTTATTTGTATAAATTGTTTGATTTTATAACAGTTTCACGGAATATTGATACATCAGAATAAGTTTGAGGAATTTTAGCATCATGGAACCTTGATGCTATAATTTTTAATATGGTTCTATCAGGAACTGAATTTGGATTAATGCAGAGATATAAAATCTCTACATGTAATATACTACAATGTACTAAATTTCCTTTTTGTATTACAGTAGACTCCGGCAAATCGGATACCCAAAATGTCAGCTAAAAATATCCGATTACCCGATATATTCAATTAGACGATGAATGTATATTCATTGAATATTCTGCAATAATGAGTAGATATAGTCCTGAGATGTTACTAACCCTGACAATTGCTAAATATGGGAAAGGGCTGGAGGATTGATGGAGTGATTTTTATCAGTTACATCACCACGATGTTTGTGTAAAAAATTATCAGCTGATTATGTAATGATTAAATTTGTTTGCAGTTTTTAAATCCTTTATTTATTAAAATAAATCAAATGTCTTGAAATATTTATGTGAATTATTATCTACCATCCATAGTTTGTCTTTATTTGTTTTGTAAGCAAATAATTATAAATATCCATTATTTACATTATCACACAGGTAAACTAATTTGGCTATAAATAAATCTAAGCATGTCTGTGTAGAATCTCCAAACTAAAATCGTATTTGTTATAATTTTATTTCTTTAAATAATCAAATTTAAATTTATGAAAATAATCATGATTGATAAAATATTATTGCATAAAGTTTATGTTTTCTTAAGACTATTTATATTTAGGTCATAGTTCTAGAGGCTTTCTCACAAATTTGTAAACATCCAAAATGGCATCCATGACATGTGGTTACTTTTGCACATGTGAAAAAAATATATCTGACAAAAGTCAGATTTCTCTTGTCAAAAGGGATTTATATTTATATTGCAATAAATTATTCAGAAGGAGGTACATTCAGTTTAGATTATATTTCTGATTCTGTGAACATTTAGAGTTAATCAAAATTCTCCAAACAGCAACGTCAACTTGTCAACTGAGTCTTGCATATTTTATAAATAAATTCAAACCATTTGAAGTAAAAGGGCATCTAATTCACATGACATAGGAAGACAATGATTAAAGACAACAATTTATTAAGAAATAGTTCCTTTTATTTAGTAAAAACAAAATCTTCTTGTCTGCAAGATTGTAAATTCGTAACTTCCAGGTCCATTTCCTGTCAGAAAAACATTGGAAATATCCGATTGTGCATGGTTTTGAACAAAATGACCTGAATATTCTTATCCGATTTGCCGATATATTCTTATATCCGATATTCGATTACACGATAAAATTAACATTAAACATATAGGGAAGGGTTTGGTGTTTTGAAATAATATTACAATAGCCGATATATTCGTTTAGCTGATATCCGATTAGGTGGAGTCTACTGTATTTTGTCTTAACAGTTATAAATATAATTTTCAATGATCAATGCTGTTTTCCTATTACGGTAATGATATTACTGTTGTTCAGTCAATGTAAATTATGTAATATAATTTGTTGAGGATTGACTGTTTGAAACTTTTCATTTGGTTCAAAACATAAATGGGAATGTTTTTGATTCTGTAGTTGTAAGTAAATGACAATTTTTGTTCTAGCTAATTATGCTATGTGTTCTTTTTTGCTTGAAAATAGTTTTCTTTCACAGATAGAAATGTTTTACTTCCTAATTTTAGCATTTTATTTGGAAATATTTTTATCATTTTACATTAGAATTTGGTTTATATATTACAAATTGTTACTTGTTGAATTCCATATGTACTATGTTTAATTTTATTATATGTTATATTTATATAAAATGTATATTTATTCTATGGCTTCATAGCCACAAGGTTGTAAAAATAAAGAGGTAATAGTAACCTTTATGGTTTATACTACAGAATATTAAAGATTCTTCATATATAAATGAAACACATTTGAAGACATTGTAATACTTCTTTGAAATCTTTTATAAAATAATTAATGCAGATACTGTGGATTTATTTATCTTCATCTGTACCAAACTCTGTGGATTAAGGAGAGATTCTGTTGTCATGGATACTTGATTCTCTGGTTTTGACAAATTCTCAATACAAGTCTAAAGGAAATTCCTATTTTTTTTATCACTGAAATTCCTGGTTAACCTTTACCAATAATGAATAATTTAATTTTGGATGTAACACGTCTTCTGATTGGCTGACGTTGTTTTGTTTATCAGCTCATAGACATACTTTTGTCATGTGACCGTGACGTCATCAATCGAAATAACATAAAAAATGTGGTGCACACTTTAAAATAACCCGCTATGCGGGTTATTCAGTGTGCACCACATTTTTGATGTTATTTCTTCATAGACAGAAAAAAAATTACAGTCATTCCTTAAATAATAATAGATCCACAGTACAGAAATTCAAATCTATTATATTAATTACAGAGGACTCAAATAGGCTCTACTTATAAGTTGAATAACCCTTTTTCAGACAGTTCTTTAACAACTACTGCAAGACTGCCAAGGAAGGGAATGACATGTCTTTTTTGCATGTAAATTTTTGTATAATGTTTGTATTCAATATGTACTGTATTCATCATACTGTTTTCTTGAAAGAAAGAAAAATAAACAATCATTTGTTTTAAATTGCATAATTTTATCAAATTATAAGAAAGTAGTTATGGATATCCAAACCTTTCCTTTCAGTTTCTGTAAGCATTCTTTGAAATTTTATTTTATTCTTTTATGACAGTATTATAGAGTGAAGGAAACCTTTACGAACCCTGTTGGTCAGTTTACATTAATAATAGGATTATTGTAAGCCCTGTTAACTCTTTCAGACAGTGAACATTAATAATAGGATAATCATGTTTTATCTCTTGCATGTTGTAAGATACACATGTCCATCTGATAGGGTTAATCTGACCTTGACCTCATTTTTCAGTTTCAAAGATCAACTATCATGTTCTCATGATGAGGTCAGTTTCTTAGATATTATAAAACCATGAGGTTTTCTTGATGAGGTCAGTTTTTTTAGATACTATGAAACCACAGTTTTTGTGATAAGGTCAGTTTTAGATAGTATAAAACCATGCAGTTTCATGATGAGATCAGTTTCTTAATTGGAACTTTAAGAAAAAATCAACTATGTTGGGTGTATAAAATGTTTTTAAGGTGTACATTTCTGTCTGGCAGGGACCATCTGACTGACCTCATTTCCACGATTCAGTGGTCAAGGTAAAGTTTTTGTGGTAAGGTCTGTTTCTTAGATACTATGTGAAGATATTAAAGGACAATACAAAATATGTTGGAAGAAAGACAACATTGAGGTAAAATAAAAACTCACAGTAAACAGTATGCAAAACACCAAAGATTAAACATAATAACCCACACCAAAAATTGTTTGTGGGAACTAAAATCACAGAAGTTCAGCAGTTCTTGCTACCTAATTGACACCCAACGCATTGTTAATGACAAGTTGAAATCTGGTGATAAGTGAAATTAAGTTATGCAAGTCTTTCAGAAAGACCAGATTGAGGCAACAACAAATAGAACATATCCTTTGTGGTGCCTGTTAAACTTTCAAAGAAATAACTTGAATTTTACTAATAAGAACCCCTGGTTTAGTAGCTTCCTTGTTAGTTGTAACCTTCAAGCTCTGGAATACAGTATCAATAGGGAACATAAACTATGCAGCTGCTTCTGGAATGTTGTAGTATTAAATAGAAATTTCAAAATAAGAAATTGAAATCATCTCTCAAATGACCCTCAGTGTAGATGTCCATGTGTAAGGCAGCACCCTTTTTCAATATCTGAAGGGCATGGTTCAAAGATTTTTTTAATAAAACCCCAGTTCTTCTAGAAAAAAAATATTTTGTCTAATGTTGATTCATTAATTTTTGCTTAATGTCAAATGGCAAATAATCCATGCATTTCAAGGACGAGAACAAATTAATAATTAAAATATAAGTTAGGTTCTGCAAAGTAGGTTGACTGGGATGAAGGGTGACTAACACTGAAAAAATAAAATGTTTAATAGCTGAAACAAAAACTATGTTATCTCTTGCTGGAAGCAAATATTGGCTGCTGAAAATTGAGTAGTACTAAGTTAACAACAAGGATAGAAACAGCAAAACATTATCATCAGTCTAAAGAAGATAAAAAAGATAAGATATTTTCATATTCATTAGTGGCAGATCAAAAATGTTGAATAGAAAACCATCAGCCTCCAGGAACCTAAATTACTCACCTAGATTTTCTTGTAGGTCTTGTCTTACTGATCATCTTTGCTGTCTACAGTTTATCTCTATTATAGTTTTCATGGAAATCCCCGAAATTGATAAAAGGTAAAAATGGTCGTTTTAAAAACAATACCTCCTACATGTATAAGGAGATTATTAACAATTTGGGTAGAACTAGTTTTGCACCAAGAAAAATTCAAAAAAGCTAGAAAAGGTGCAAGAAAGAGCGCTCCGTTTTCTGTGCGAGGATTTTAGTAGCTCCAACGAGGACCTCTTACATAAAGCTATGCTACCCTCCTTGCAGATCAGACGGATGAGAACAATGGCTCTAGAAACTCTCCAAGATTATGAACAATATAGCTCTTGTGAGCTTACAAAATTTGGTGAGTGTTAAAAATCTAAGTATTCTTTCAGGTATGTAAATATTCTGGATGTTCCACAGGTAATGTCAACCCGTTGCAGTAAAAAATCTTTCAAATTTGCTGCCGCAACTTTATGGAACAGCCTTGCAAAAATAGTTTTTCACATTTTAAAAGTTTTATTCAGTTCTGGAACGGTTTGGAATGTCGCTGTTCTGCTTTGGAATGTCGCTGTTCTGCTTGCAGATAACTCTTGAGCAGTTTATTATTCATGTTGCTTTTTGTTGCTTTTGACTAGTATTGATGTATTTCTTCAAGAATTTTCATATGTTTAAATTTTAGTTTCTGACACATATTTCCAGAAATTGGGTGATCAATGAATGTTGAAAATATTTTGTTCTTTGAAATTTCGAGATCTCAAAGCATATACTATAGTTCCAAACTTTTAATGCGCCGGTCGTAGCGGAGGGGGCATTAAGTTTTATGTCCGTCTGTACGTACATACGTACGTCCGTTCCAAAATTGGTTTCCGTTCTCTAACTTTAGTTTGCCTCAACCAAATGTTATGAAACTTATACATAATGCTTATTACCACAAAACACAGATCAACTTTGAATTTTGGTGGCGTCACTTTTACCGTTCTAGAGTTATGCTCCTTTACAAATGGAAAAATTGCTGAATTTATCGTTTCCGTTCTCTAACTTTAGTTTGCCTCAACCAAATGTTATGAAACTGATACACAATGCTTATTACCACAAAACACAGATCTAGTTTGAATTTTGGTGGCGTCACTTTTACCGTTCGAGAGTTATGCCCCTTTACAAATGGAAAAATTGCTGAATTTTTCGTTTCCGTTCTCTAATTTTAGTTTGCCTCAACCAAATGTTATGAAAGTTATACACAATGCTTATTACCACAAACCACAGATTAAGTTTGAATTATGGTGGCGTCACTTTAAATGTTCTAGAGTTATGCCCCTTTATAAATGGAAAAATTGCAAATTTTTTATTTTCTTCTAAATATCAAGTATTTTTTTAAAATTGGAGTTATCTTCCTTCGTCCATGATTATAGTTGAATCAACTACAATCAATGCTTTATACAATGCAATGTTTGATTTTGACTTCCACTGATAAAACACAGATCAAGTTGAATTTGGGTAGTGTCACTTTAACCATTATTGAGTTATGCCCCTTATAGTTATAGTTCGAAAGATTGCAAAATTTTAGTTTCCATTCTGTAACTTAAGTTTGCCCCAACCAAACATTATGAAACCTATACACAATATTCATTACCACAAAACTAAGATCAAGTACAAATTTTTTGTTTCCGTTTTCTAACTTTAGTTTGCCTCAACCAAATGTTATGAAACACAATGCTTATTACTACATGATGCAGATTAAGTACGAAATTTTGTGGCGACACTTTTACCATTCTTGAGTTATGTCCCTTTATAAACATAAAAATTGCTGAATTTTTCGTTTCCGTTCTCTAACTTTAGTTTGTCTCAACCAAATGTTATAAAACTTATACACAACCGTTCTAGAGTTATGCGTGTTTACAAATAGAAAACATTGCTGAATTTTTAGTTTCTGTTCTCTACTTAAGTTAGCCTCAACCAAATGTTATGAGACTTACACACAATGCTTATTACCACAAAACTCAGATCAAGTTCAAATTTTGGTAGCGTCACTTATACCGTTCTTCAGTTATGTCCTTATAACTATATGACATGCAAGCGGGGGCATCATCTGTGTCATCACGTCTCAGTCATTACAACTGAACGGACGTGCTGGGTCAGCTCTCCTTTACCCGCTATCTTCGATGAGGGTTTACTGTTAGATGGATCAACGACTTACTACTTTCGATGACAGAAACCAATCCAACGCTGTACAGACTACGTTAGGCTATAATCCGCGTAGGGCTAATTCCCGCGTCAACATACACTCCAAAACCCATTATGGATGGGGGAGTGGTATGCCGAGTGACGTCCGAGGGCCGTATCCTAGGTGTTAGATGATGGACCACCATCTCACTGTCTCACGACTTTGGTCCTGATAATGCTTCCTGTCATCGTTAATACTACGTCCGAGACTCATCTACCAGTACTCCATCATCGAGGTTAGCGGGCTGCCAAGCTGACCAATCTGGCCCTGAAAGCAGCCGTTGTGAAGACATAACATCAAAATAGTCAACAAAAGAAAAACCAAAACAACTCACAAAACCAAGATGGCGGCCTACCAAAATGGCGTCCTCCACCTGTTCCTGACCGATGGCACAAAATTATTTAAACGCTCACCAAACGCCTTCGGGCACCGAGCCGACCGTGCGAGGGATGTATATCCAGTCAAGGTCGTTAAAAACTTCCATTTGTTGTGTCATCTGTGTCCACATGTGGACACTATCCATGATTTATTTTATTTTATTTTTATAAAAGTAATCTATTTATTTAAATAGTTACCATATTTTAATCTAAATTTTAAACTTTTAAATAGGTAAACCATGCTTTACTTCCTTCTAAATTTGCTGCTAAATTTGTATTGCATGCTATGTGTGAGATTCAACTTTGTATTACAGGTTGTTTATATCTTAGACTGTTTTTATGTTATGTATATGTTTCGGTGCTTTGCTTTTGCGGCAATTGGCATTTCATTTGCGCCACAATAAAACATTTCAATTGCGCCAATAATACAGGTAATTACCATAGGTACTTGGGGACAGGACAATTTTTTTTTTGGGCCCTCCCCCCCTTTTTTTTCTAAAATCCGTTATTTTTTCGTTTTCTATTAATTTCAATTATTTTCGCGTTTTTCTGTATTATAAGAACATAAATATACTACAAATAACTTGTATTTGCTATTTTTTTATATCAATTTCAAAGTTTACTATCCACAGCGGTCACTGATATATTATATAGAGAGCACCAAAAAAAATAAAATTGTCCTGTCCACAAGTACCTATGGTAAATACAGGTAAATAGTATAAAAAGTAGTTTTATTCAAAAGAGACTTTTGATAATAACTTTAAAACACATATTCCTCCGAAATC